CATGTCCATTCTCGCCGCTGTCGTGGTGTTCGCCGTTTGCGGCTTTTTCATTGCACGGTAAGCTTTACTAGACATGTCATCCGGGAACCGTCTGTTGAATTCACAGCGGTGTACCACATGTTTCTCTGGCTACATTATATTTGGTATGGTATGGAACCATTTTGAGTGATGATACCATACAGTGACGCTCTTCTCCCCGCCCCAGGTGGTATCGACGAAGAAAGATGTATCGTGAAGGTCCAAACAAGCTCATTCTCTATCCTGACGATCTGACTTTTGTACGTCCTGTTAGACCTTCAAGACCATCGGCACCGGTAAGCAATTCAACGATTGCATTGGCTGTACTGCACCTCAACTTTGAGCTAGCAGCTCCATTCCATCGATGATCAGGATTGTTGTTACCAGTCTGAAAGTATTTTACAGCAGGATGAACCGTTTTAACGTGTCGGTTAATGCTCAGTGAACGTTCACCCGTTAGCACTCGAATTTGAACTTGAACTTAGTTTTCAGAGTGACATCGAACTTCACTGGCTGGGGTGATTGCAAAGTTGTCTTGGTGACCATTCATCTGGCTTAATATACACTAGAAGAAGGCAACGTGCTACAGTAATGACATTTGAGTCTAAGCTGATCCCACCTCCTTCGTCACTCTCGTATATCAGCGTGGATGTATTAGAACGGATAGGTTTTCCTCAGATAGTTCGAAGCCGTTTGGGGAGCAACCCTAGCTGTAGGTCAAGCAGCCAAAGGAGTCAAGAAGCAAAACTTGCTTTTCTTTGTCATTACTAAGTCCATATGTTTCTTAAGCTTCCGCTACTTGCCACGATAGGTAGTGTTTGCTAAGGGGATAGATGCCCCGCGCTCATCTAAATAGTGTCACCTCCGTTGAGTTATAAAGCCGTCAACTGGCAATGGGCTTGACACGTTTGCTTTATTCCATGAAGAGGAATGTGGTTTCGTTTGTCGCCTTTTATACCGCATCTGAAAGGTCGGCTTAACAATTAACTTTACTGCTGGCCTTTTGCCAACCGACTAAATACAACGCATTGGTGAGCACACTAAATACAGGGGTAGGATAAGGTTGTCTGCAGATGGGCTGCAGTAGACTGTATTGGGTAGTCAGGCCAGTTTTTGCGTTAGCACGTGGTTTTACAGGCGTTGCACACAGGTGTACTTCTTCCGTACGAGGCTTTGTCAATAAACTAATTGGACATTGATCCTTACGGCCTCCAACGCCGTGGAAATTCACAATAGCATTCGGAACATGACTGGGGCACGAGGTCACTGATCGTGGTAACTATTATCTGTTTTCCTAAAATGTGACTTTTCAATGAAACCGTAGTAAAGGACCCACACTATGACGTCGCTAACCAGAAGTCGGCTCACTTTGTCGCCATCTACTCGTTGGGTGCGGTGAATCACCTTCACTTACCCTTGAATGCCGTCTTACCTGAGACACTTCAGAATATGATAGTTCACTAACATTCTAATAAGGACCATTCTGGTGAAGCCTTGTTGCCAGGCCCTTCGCGCCGAAGGCATCAATTTGTAGGCTCAAGTTTCAACTTCCCCCAGGGAGCATAGTGTAACACAATTGCAAGACCTGGCCTGAAAAAGCTCTGGTGTCAAGGGCGAAACGTTGCCACAATAAAACTCTACCAACACCGATTCGTATTCAAACCTTCTGAAATCATGAAATCCCAGTCGGTTCCAAGCATATTCCGAGATATTGAATTGCAAGAGTAGTTGTATATTCGACCAACCTGTACTCGTGTTGCAAAAACTACGAGGCAAGGAACGGAGAGCAACCTGGGTGTTACGGGCCTATAATTCAGCCACAATACTTGCAGACGACACAGTGATGGTTTCGAACCAGATGGACAGTTGTATTCCACGCTGCTTGTCGCACAGGCTATTCCAATGGGGACACTGAGGAAAGCCATATAATAACACTTCACTAAATCTCGTGTGAGTTAAGCAAGGCAACTGTCTGATCATTCAGAGCTGAGAACCCATCGACATCCATAAGAAAGCATAGGCTAATCAATCCAATTAGTTAGTTGCATTCGCCACAGCAGGTAGTTTCCTTCAGTATAACATGGCAAGGAAAAGGGCAGAAAAGTGTGCAGTTTTATGTAATTCGAGCTGCCGGGAGAAATCAAAACGGGCAGCTGGAATACGAAGAATGAAGAAACTGGAGGGACCTAGCAACGGAAGAGTAGTCACACCTTGAATGTTTGCAAGCATATCACTAAACATAGCAGGATGTAGCGCCGAAGTTTTACACTATTCACTTCATGCGGACATCTGTCTATTGCAGCTACTCTTTTCTCTTCTAGTGTTGTATCTTGCTTTAGTGCTATCACTCGGGTTCCGTTACCTTCGAGGTGTAGCTCTGTACCTTTTATGGGCACACTGATATGAAACGCTGCTATTTTCAGGCGCAAAATACAGACACACGGTGGTGTGACTTGTGGATCTCAAGAGCGCTTTTGCGCCCTTTTCTTGGTTCTTTTCATAATGTCATGAATTGAGAGTTTCGCGTTGCATGCAAGTTCACAAATATTACTGTTCTTCAGAGTGATGTGATTGAGCAACTAGCGTTTGTCCTCCCGGTTCTAAATGAAGTTACAAAGGCCACAAGCGCAGCAGTCCTAATGCGTTATTTGCACAGATGTGATATCTGTGTGACGCGACAGTACAGTGCTTGCCAGAATTCGTCTGTCACCACGAATCTATCCAGAAGACTTAACGGTTAAACAGTACCTAAAACCGCTAGGTAGGAATTAGTGCTGCTTACCTACACATCACCAACACATTTGGTCAGCTGGATCGCAGCTTCTTCTCTTCAAGGTTCTGAATTATCTAATCGACTGTCTGTCGCGGGTTGGATGTGACTTCCTCGTTACACGGCATCATTGAATGCGTAGTCATTACTCGCTGTTATGCCATACCAATGTTGCGTGCTGTGGCATGTAATGGCTAGCACTGGAGCCAAGCCTGTCCAAGATTTTCAGTACCGACCTCCTGAGAGTGGTCATTACAATTTTGTTGCTGAGCAGTGTTTATCCTGACGTTTGAAAGCCTATCAATACGTCAGTTAGTCATGAAACCCTGAGGGGTAGAGTTTACATCTTTTACTAGTAATTTACGATTCTTTCCAGCGTAATGTTACCAGATAAACAGGCTGAGTGTATAGTGGCGTCTCAATGGCACTTGCCGATTCGGAATGTAGGTTTCGCATTGTGGCGCACTTGGATTGGAACTGGGAAAGCTCATAACTATTGATCTTGCTCATTTACAACAAGTGGAAACGACCAAGGGCAGTCTCAATGGATACCCTTGTCTCCTACGAAAGACGTTCAATGAATAGAAGCATCCACTAAGGTTTAAGATATATGAGTAGGCTCTGACCGAGTGTGCTCACTAAACCGGTAACATTGGCAGAATCATGGTCTTCCCGCTCTTAGGTTAGCACATCGGTGGGTACCCTAATTGTCTGGAGCTCGCATTACCACTCTTAAGTCTAAAAGCCAAACACACTGTCCATTTTCGGAGGCCTTTATATATATGTATAAGTATATCTAAGTCTACTTACAGACAATGTGTCATCAGTACCATAACAGGAAAAAGCAAAATGAGAAGCACCATAGCAAAAGAAAACGAAGTTTATGGGTTGAACACAAGCCACTTTCACTATTTTGACTTAAATATTCGATTAGCCAGTAACTAATAGATTATGAGGCGAACCAATACTGGAACCACTGGTCTCTGTGGAGAGCCCTAACATCCAACGTTTCCAGTCACTGTTAGTCAGTGTCGCGTAGTCTAATGCCTGGAAGTTGGGGCAGTTCGTCAGAAGCTAAGCTTGAGATCGTCTTCCTCATGATTCTTCTCTTATGCCATTGGTTGTCCACCGTGGCACTTTCTCCAATCGCTTCCGGAAAGCGCAACTAACTTGCAACGGGAAAGGTGATAGGCTGGAGTGCCCAATATGTGCCGGGGCAACGCACCCGGTGTCGGAGAACAACGTCTTGGAGCCAGGATACGTTCGCCTCAAGCACTCGGTCTCAGAATTCTGCTTTACCTGCGTGGTGTTGTCACCACACACACACAACGGTTGTTAATGCTGGCAATCATTTCACCGCTTCCGAGTGCATAGGTCTTTGTGACAAAAGCGGGACGTTGCTCAGCATTACATTAAAGAATTATTATCCAAAATTCTCTAGAATCAAGATACTGGGTTGTGTCGCACTTATGTTTAAGTCTCACTCAACCTTAGAAACGGCGGACACTGATCATTTTTCATAAATCATCAGTGGATTACAGGTGACGAAATCTCATATGGCCTGAGGGACATCATCTAGCAGACAATGCGAGCAACGTATGTTACTTTAGGTTCGTGTTAATCAGTGTGGCTGGTTGCGATGTCATCAGTTCAGCGCTAACTCACTGTAACACAAAGGAATTCCGTTCACGAAGAATAACTGATCGAGCAATTCAAACATTAGTGATTGTGTGGTTGAATAAACCACCACGATTTGCACAGGCCGAATATTCCAGCCGTCTTTGAATACTATTCCAAACCAGAAGCTGTACAGTTGGGTACTTTATCAGTGTTCTACACAACTCAGTCCACACTGAAACCTTGCCAACAGCTTTGTTGATAGTTTTAGAACAGCACACTGTAGTACAGTGTGATATTTTCGATATTTTTCTTTGCAACTAAATGTGTCAAAGGGTATCTAGATGGTACGCTGTTCAGGCGTCGTTGGTGAGACAAGCAGGAGAGACGCGTTTGCCAATGTTCGTCGTAAGTTAATTCTCGTTTACCATGTTTTGGAGGGTGTCATTTGAGATGGGAAAATTCCATGAAAAATGTATTTTGGTCAATTGGTGGCCACAGATAATAGCATCTGCACACTTTTATATAGATTGACTTAGAATAGGCAAATGAAACGGTAACCAACAGTACCAATAAGTTTGGTGAATATATCTAGAGAGTTTTCCTCGATTGCAGAGTAATCCAGACCTCCGGTTCCCAACACTGAACAGTGAGCCGAAACTGAATGCCGGTTCTGCGAGCCGTGTCGCTCTGAGTGCGGATGATCCTACCAAATCGCTGGCATCCGTGATCAGCGGGGACGGAATAAGTGACACCAACACCGCAAGATACAATGTGAGCAATCCAGTATTTGTGTCCGTTGCTTGTATTATTTTGGTCTCAGTATGCCATATGTCTACCCTTGATGGTATGTATGAATCTTTTAAGCACGTAGTATCTAGACTTATCCGCGAAAACTATCTGGTTGGTACCACATCAAGGTAAATTTGGTTTAAATGAAACTCAAAGGAAAATGGACGCACCTATCCACCCGATAAGGCATTGGACAGTTACTCTGTCCTCTTGAATATCGTTAACAGCGCTGCTTACCGGTCTGATAAAGACCTTCGGATTGTGGCCCAAAGACTACAAACGGAGATTTAAACACATGTACCTTTTAAAAGCCAGTGATCGATATGATTGAGTGTCAGCTGTGATGCAGCGCAGCAGCTTCCTATCTGTTAAACTACTGAACTCCTTTCACTTCTCCGTTACAGTGAAATGGGTGGGGACTCTTCGTTTTTGTTCACGCCCTGACCTCAAGTAGCATCGAAATATACTATGCACATGACGGTTGCAGTTTAGAGGCTGGCTGTCGATCATCGGTTGGAGGATGTGTGCGCTAGAATGTCTCACAAGAGGATTTTGTAGTTGAGTTGCAGCAAAGTTATGCCTCTTATCAGCACGTGTAACAACAATAGTGCATTTTGCCGTTATGTCGATTTACTGATTCTTGTTTATCGCTTAAGTGTAAGCAGCTTAGAGAAACCGATAGCTCTTTCCTTAGTATTGTAGGGTAGACTGTTTTTTACATGAAATAACCAGAGGACAATACAAAACACTCTTTATCATAGCTGATGAGCATATTGGGAGAGACAACTACTTTGGTGGGCGGAGTTAAAGGTGGGAATTTGTACGCGAACCAACACTGTGTGGTTGAGTGTGACTCAATCTGAGGTTATTCGTGCCTCGCGCATCCAAAGAACGTCGCAATGTGTCCGGGTTCACTCCCGCGTCATCTAAATTGCAAAAATTTAACGGCAAGCTACCGCGCATCACGATCGGCTACCGTTCAGTAATAGTCGCTGTTTTAGATTTAAAAGCGTTGCATTGCTAGCACCCACTCCAATCCCAGGAATCATCACCATTTCTCTTGTTTCACAGAATGGTCTTGTGTATGTGAAACGACTGGATTTGGAGAACCCGACATTGAAGCGTCGTTTCTTGGATACTGTGCGTACATTGAGAGAAATTCGCAATGAGAATATTAACCAGATGATCGGATGTTACGTGGATATTAGCTCTCTGTGCATTGTGTTTGAACATTGTAGCAGAGGTAGCCTCAAGGTAAGTTTATTTCTTCTCGGTTCGAATAATTTGACCAAAATCTGTGCAATTTGAAAGGGTAGACAGAATGGCGACTGCTTCGTAAACACATAGTGCAGAGAGTTGAAATCACGTGATAATACATGGTGTTAGTTTTATTTCCTTGCAAAAATTCCAAGTTGATACCATACGAGTTATTGTGTAGAAATTCATCACTCTTTGTGTCGCTAACTGCAGAATCCATCTGATGGTAAGATAGAATGGATGACAGTTCAGTGAGACACACCACTAATTCAGCAACCCACAGGATGGGTCACGGCCTGTCTTTAAACAGGGAAAGCTTTGTGCATGAAACTGCACATATTTGAAGGATGTACACACCATAAGGAAGCTAAATCGTTTTGTCAGTTGTGCTATAACACCCTTAAGCACATGTTTAGAGCTTCTGCCGGATGAAAATTCGCAGGTGTTTTCTGTTGTTGACACTGACGATTGATTAGCAATTCGTACCCGGTGGTACCGACACCCTTATTTCATCATCTGTGTTCGTCCACTCCTATTCGGTCTCTAGATTCAAGGAACAGAAGGCCCTCATCGGTCCGCGTCACAAGCTCTCGGTTTCTACACTCCTGCTTTGTGCAATATCTGCATGAATTCAAAACATTTGTTATTCGCTTTAAGATTTCCTTGAGGTTTGCAAGTTTACGTTAATCCTCGGAAGTGGATAGAACAAGAGTAATGTATCAGGTCGTTGAGCTTTTTCAAATCAATCGCACCTAGCCTGTTTGCGCATGTTTATATTTAGCTTACTTAATTCGACTCGCGGTTGTACGTGTGGGATTGGGAACCATGTCCAAATGTACCCACATTGAACGAATTCGAGTACTAGCAAGTACACCGGCGTGGATCTTTCTTCAACTGCGAGGTCAAGGTGTTGGGTGAGACGTTACCTTGTTTCTCTTCAGTCAACTTGGCAAAAGGAGGATGCCTGTCTGGATAGATTACGTGGTCTCAGCTGGGCTGTACTTATGTGATGCTGATACTTACAGCGTACGTAATTCTCACTACACGATTCCATATCCACTAAAATAAAGTAGGCGAGAGAACAAAAAATACGCACAACATATATACTAACAACGTCACTTTAGAGTAGATGCACCGTCAACAAAGTATTTGAGATGAAAGTCCAGCGAGGCGGTTCGTGCTGCATTGGAATATAATGTCTGACAATATTAGCTAAAACAATGAAAAATGATCGAATTCATGCTTACGACAGAGACTGGTTGTCAGTGATATCACTCAGTGTCACCGCGACTAATTACCCCAACCACCGTCCCTTTTGGCTATGAAACTTGAGGCCAGTGTAGACAAATTATGAAGAATTGTTTTTGTGAAGCTCTAATCTGTCGGCCGGATACAAACGCAGCGGATTCTTTTTATCACTGTGCGCTTGTTGCCCAAGAACGCGGGTCCGTTAAATACAGTGACATAACCATTTAGCTCATCTGCAGTTGCTAATAAACGGTGCTCAAAATTTAGCTGTCCGGGTACAGAAAGGTTCCCAAGACTTAAATTCACTTGAATAAACTTGGATCAACCTCACGTCAAATATCTTAAAACAGTGGTATGTGACCACACGAAATAGACAGTGTGACGGCGCCCAGCATTCACAAATGGTGGCGGGCGGTATTCATCATTCCAGTAAAGTATGACAGCAATCGAACTAACTTTTAACCACAACATGAAGTACCACTCGAATTCATATTGCTCGTGCATCCGTTCACATTGTCCTTCTACCATGTAGCACATACGATTACCGGCGCACCCACGAGAAAATAGAGTGCGGCGACGGAATGGGAATTTAGATCGGTATTAGCATTGGAGAACACTGATGATAAACTTATCTATAGGGGATCACTCATCTCGAGCGGCGCCGTGAGACAGTCGGGCTTTAAAACGATTTGCTGTACGTGTTTGCCATTGATCAAGTTCATTCGACCGGATGGCTGATGAGGGGATTCACCAATTTATGGCGAGAAATAAATACTATGTGTAATCTGGTTAAGTAAAAGGCAGGTGACAGGAAAACTCTTCACTCTTGGACGATAAACTCTCATCAGCGTGAACCACCGAAAGCTCCAGGTTTACATTGTATGTATTAATTGTATCTCCCTCCGTGCTAACACTCGCACTGATTAGCATCTCAAGTCAGCATTTTGAGTTCTTTGTCAAATTGGTCGAAAGTGGGTTAACCTCTGTTGCGCTGTGCTACATTTGAAGTGAGGTAGTGTAGTGATTCAAATCGCTTTTACCAGGGATCTCTTAAATGGGCCGGACTGGGGTATACTGTATTTAGGTTATTACCTGTACAGAGGAAGGAGTATATGCGGTGAGTAAGTCTTCAGTATTTTTTAGCTGCTGAGGTCAATCTACTTCTCGATTGTGACTCCAAATCCTTTCCGTTGTCCACACCATCATATAAGTGAGCGAACATTTTGACAGTGGTTTACCTGCTCAGGCGAAATGTGTAACAAGGTGAGAAGTTGCCCGATGGATATCGCGGCCATCGGACTTCTGCAACAAATAAAATTTTGGTTGTACTTTTTGCATTCTTAGTTTCTTACCGTATTTTGAGCATTTGACTTTGCATCCGTAGACCCATGTCAACTTGAGACGTTCATTTAGTTAGCTTGCAACTCTTGGAATACAGTTAGAACCGATCGAGAAGTCCTTGTTTCGGAGAAATATGTGAACATTCGGCTGGTTTGTTTAAGCTTAGCTTTTGTCCCTAAGCCAGGCTAGGTGACTCAGCACACCGTTTGGCATTTTACAGTAAGTAAAAGAGATGATCATGAAAAGGAAAAATGAGTCAAGGGACTGTTAAAAATACAGGTGGAAAACTTATCGCAGATGGTCCACTTAGAATGGGACTACACCATTTCCCAGCCAAGTTGTCCTCTTGGGCAACAGAAATAATCTGAGTGGCATTCAACATGAGTCTGCTCAATTAATTTGTTCCGTGCGTAGGAGCTGAAGTGTCCCACCTTCAATCCTATGACTTAGTGCGTCTGAAGCCCAATTGGCTGAAGGCGACGGGCTATACACACACAAGTACACACCTGCATAAGTGACTGGCGAACACACGGAACAAATTAGTTGAGTAGACTCACGTTGAATGCCCCTCAGATTATTTCTGTGGCCAAGAGGACAAGTTGGATGAGAAATGGTATAGACCAGAGGTTTAACCGTCCGTCGTGTTGCACATTAGTCTTGGTGATGAAGATGATTAAGTCGATCATTGTTATCCAAACCGACCAGCGTATAGACACTCGTCAGACTGGCCAGATTAAGGTTGCTCGCCAAGTATTTGGGAGCTTCCCCACTACATTCCATTCATACAACCACCAGCTTTAACGACTTCGATCACCTCGACAGTTAACCTCTGAGTCCTTCCTCATAAACTATTTTTAATGATCTCTACGTTATGCAGATCCATCCAAAGTCCGGTGTCCAACGTGTGCACAGCTACGGCATAATTTCTTTTCAAAGCATTAGGTCTCATTCCACTGTGGTCGAGAAATTCACCTTTTGTGTTCCATGCTCCGTTTTCCTATCTCTCGCTGTTTGACAAATGTATACGTGTGTACAGACTTTAGTTGATTTTGTACACAGTTAGTCGTCCTACATGTGGAAAGTCGGTGCTTCAACAGCACCAGTTTTGAACGTAAAGTTTGACCACTCTGGATGATCTCCCTAATGCCCTGCTTCTTCATTAAGCTCCGAATTGCCTCCGAGGTACCTAACTCGTAAGGAATGCCCACCGTCCCTATTCCATGCACTGTGGATATTACCTGTGGGTTAAGTCCTTTTGGTAACAGACCTTTCACTAGACTTCGCAGCTAACCCCTGCTAGTTGTTTGCTCATCACTTTTCCGTGCAACCTTGCTATCCTCTTCTGTTATGCCCATTATCTGTGCCCTGTGGAACAGGAATTAGGCTACCCTCGCGTTAAGGTATTTTGGTTGGGTATCTCATAGGCATCTGTTGGCTTATGATAGGTTGTATTTTCTCAAATTCCATTTATATGAACCAGGTGGTCATGGTATCTTATTGCACCACTGCAAGACTCCAAGTCCTCAATGATGCTTATTCTTTTGTCAATAGACTTTAGGTGGTTTAGCAAGTCCTTCTTCCTATCCCGTTTCAGCAAAGCAAATGTGTATTGTATGTAGCGCCATCAAGTTTTCAGCAAGTTACCGGGGTTTACTAGCACATTCTTCTCGAAGTCTTCGACGTACAAACTCGCCAACGCAGCGGATTTTGATGGTCATATGGCCAGACCTTGTTCCTAGGTGTAAGCCTTCTACTCAAAAGCGTAATGAGACATGCCGAGGCACAACTCCATGCCGTGCACTCTTCGATCATTTGTAAACCTTGTTTGTTCACCGATTTCATTGTCCTCATGCACGCAGCGTCTTGATAAGCCCAGGGCTTTCTCTTTCGGCACATTAGTAAAATTCGAGGCGAAATCGAAGCACACCATATATTCAGCAAGCTAAATGATTAGTCCCGATACCTTTCTGACAAACTGATACAAGTTCTTCACGAACGTACTCCTTCTTTCTGTCAGGCGTTGCAATCTTTCCGTCAAATATCTCGCGACTTCGCGTGTCGCAGAGAACACACAGTGGGCAGTGGGCCGTATGGGACCGTTAAGCTTAGGTATCTTTGGTAGCCAAGGAAGTAACGCCGAAGTAGATAGAGACTATACCATTTACCAATCTTAAAGCATGATTTGGTAGCTAATTATAAAGTGCATCTCCCGGCACATGTGCATACTAAATTCAGGTGGCCAGATCAAGAATCTTGATTTGTACTAGACGCATATATCTCTCTGGAAGGATTAAACTGGTAGATCACGCTGGTTTAACTGCGTGCGTAGCATTTGGTTCATTCACCACAGCTGTTTATGACTTGACACCGGCACACTCCTCTACGAATCTGCCTTATTTGATAAATTGATTAGTGTTGCATGACTGTACCGTCTTCAAAACCTCGCCACTAGCATACGGTGAACAGCACATCAACTCGTTTTGTAGAGGCATACTAACTTTGAAAGGGGCGGCAAAAGACAAAGGCTGGTAGATGCATGCATTTCGTACGGTCTGCTTACTAAATTGACTGAAATTAAAAGCCGCAACATGCAGTGCTAATAGCAACAATGGTATAACCCGGTGAATTGATCAGTTTTTAATATATTGTCGATCTACCCGTCTAAAGATAGCTTTAGTGAGGATGGGCGTAACCTTAGCCCATTTCCTGCTGAGGTTATAAAATATCTTCATTTTCATATGTTATACAAAATGGTACAAAACACTCACCTGAAGTTTGGCTTTTGCAAATTTAGATTATTTTAAGAAATATGAGGACATTTCTCTCTGTCCTTTTTAAAGAACGCCAGCAAGAAATGACTTTGAAATAAAAGTGAAAACATACAACTACGTTTTTCAAACAAATGGACAAATGTGTGCAGATTTAATGTGATAGTTGTTAAGATTTCTAAAAGAGTGATAGTGCAACAGGCAGTTGCTCTTTAGAAAAGCATATGAAGCCCAATTTACATAAAAGTGTGCTGTATCATTCATGCGTGCTATGTCGCGGAGCTGACCAGGTGTAATGGCACATCACACACTGGGCAGGGTAGATTAACCTTCTTCCCACAGTGCCGGCATCTTCTTTGTTTCGACATATATTCCAACTGGTATTCAAAGTATGATGTCCTGATACTGTATTCAGCCTTTTGACGTTTTCTGCTGGGTGTAAGAAGACGATTTTGGGGGACATTATTCTCTGTTACCTACCTGCAAGTAGACTTTCACGACAGTTCGTTTGAAGAAAAGCATGTCGTGTTGCTCTTGTTTATATGCTGGTGTACAAAATCCAAGCATTCTTAATTGCAGCATCTGGTAGAAAGGCGAGTAGTTGCAACTACCACTTTTTGCTGCGAACATTGTTCCTATTCTGACCGACATTTTGGTCTAATCGATCCACTCCTCCCATCAAGGTGTTATACTTAGTAACGATGCTAGGTTGTTCAATAAGTATGTGCATTTTTTCCTTCGTCGACCACTTCTTCACATTTGTCAGAGGATGTGCACCAACAGAGTTTCTGGCACGAGTCACAACTGAATTATCATTACAAAACGAACACATTCTTTCGTCTAATAAACCTGTAGTCATAAGTATTCCTGTTTAATTTTCCTAGGGCATGCCGGTCGATGGGTCAGTTTCCTGTTCTCTTTGCTCGAATTGTCCCCGTTGCTTCTTTGTTTTTTTGGTCAAGGCTTTCATGCAAGCCAAGCATGTAAAAAAAGCTGTCAAAATAGATGTGGTAGGGCCGCTGCTTCGGGAACTTCTCCACTAGGTCCATAACAATGCCAAATCCAAAGTTTAATGTCCTCCTAATTTGCTTGAGCTCTTCGGGATAGACCCCGATAGGCTACATAGTCTAGAGGTATTGCAATGACCCATAGTTTATACCCGAAACGAATGGTTCAAAATTCCAGCTAAAGAAAATTGATGTCATCAGTTAACCTATCTTCCACATGCACTTATAACCATGAAAATGTAATTAAAACGGAGAACTCATGTCACTATAAATCGGTGTATTACGCGGTGATAATGTTATCCTACTATATCAGGTTTTTAAAAAAAGTACGCAAATGTTTCGATAATATTACTAATAGCCTAGTCAGTTCTAAGGCACAACTAACGGTAACGTTTTTTGCTGGCATCCATTAAAAAGTACAGATGGTTGCAGCACATGTATGCAAGAAATCACGCACATTTTACATGATTACATGTGATAAGCTATTCTAGACATATAATTTAATACAATTATTGCAACCATTTGGTACTTTAAATGAATAATTACTTAAAGTACTCTCACCTTTATGTATTATCTAGTTTATTAGTAATTTGTGATCATACAAGAAGGGGAAAGATTTTTTCGAAAATAAACTGGCCGGCTAACATGATATCAGAAATAATTAGTATTAGTTTGTTGTCCAAGTTTGTAACTTAAAGAAACTATGGATAATAGATAAATTCGACATCTTTACTCACATTTTACTAAGCATCCGTTAAAAAGGACACCGGCCGAAAATGGGCTAAGCAACACGGGCCCAGTTACAGTGCATAAGGTCGCAGTAGACTTGAAGCTGTCTGTAAGAGTATTGAACGTTCACGCCAATTTAGGAGAACGAATATAATTCCAGCCAATGTTGCCGTTAGGTTGTCCTGACAATATGCCGCACCACGCCCTGTAGTTATGGCAGCAAGTTGAAACGAGGAGAAACTGTTAATCTCCTTTCAGCAGGGTAGTATGCCTTCGTTGGTTATTAAACAGGTTACACGTAGGCTTTAAAGAATAAGTCACACAAACTGAATCGATAGACAATTTATTACCGAAGTCGATTGTAAAGTGCCCGCATGCATACAATGAACATAACTTGCCTTTGTGTGTAAAATAAATAGATCCTTTCCTTGTATAGAGTAGTACGAATACTTAAATAATTTATTGTACCAGACCTAATGCAGTCACGGCGGTGCATTAGCGGGTGGTCCTAAACGGGCTACTTAGAAGCATACCCGAGGTTGCAATCCGCCTTAAATACCAAATGATTCTCTGAATCTTGGTGGCGTGTTACGTTATCTATGAGATCGCTACATGGAAACGCTGTGGTATACTTAAATTCGGATCATTGCTAATATCTCGAATGTATTCACTTAACGCCGAGCCCATTCGTTGAACACAAGCTTCACTAGAAGGTAGATCGACAAACATAGGTTGATAATCCTAGCAGAAGAGGGATATTTGAAGTAGGTCTATTCATCAGATTGCTAGCATCTAAGATGACAGCGTGTAACTGAAGTTATTTGGTGCAATGTCCACAGAAAAGCTGTGCAACTGCAGCCACTTGCACCACCTTCCTGAAGCTGATGACTCTACTGACTGGGTTCATTTTCGTTCTCTGCATTTCAGTGAAGCATGTAGGCAACTGGAAATCTATGCCAATAAGACACCGCAACGACCTCTGCAGCTAAACAAAGGTTGAAAAACCTGGTGAGCGCAAAATGGAATACGCTAGTAGCGGGGACTAAGTCACGGTAGGGAAGCAGGTGTCACAAACACTTCCCCCATTTTGCTAGCTTTACAAATAGCATAACTTCTAACACCCCATTGCTGAATCTCGCCAAATGATATAGACAACATCAATTCACATTAAAACATTACATTTTTTCTTGTAGGATGTGATCAACAAAGAATCGATTGTACTGGATTGGGAATTTAAACTATCACTCATAACAGATGTGGTGAAAGTGAGTTTCAACTGCTTTTCATTGCTCGCAGCAATATCATGTCGATTCACAAGAGTTAGTTGTGAGTAACCCGTTTTTATTAGAACGCATACGTTACCTTTTGTTTTAAATAGTTTAGTGAATACTGATGTCACACCCAAGGACAGTGTAGTCACAAAACGTAGAGAAGTTGCAACAAACTGAATAGTTCTCCGGTTTGCACGAGTTGCTTCGGGAAAGTCTCAGTGTTGATCTCCTTGAACGCTTATGCGATCGGGGGTAAATGTCGGAAACAATGTTGAAACAATTCGTTGTAATTGTAAACGAGTCACTTGCTTGTGGTACGACAAGGATAGTTATGATTTTTCTCCCAATATCATAAGATACAACCTGCGATAAGTAAGCCAGCCACAACAGAGCATGAAGCTGCATTGACAACAGAGAGAAACATTTGTCGTTAGAGTTGGATTATGCATCAACATAAGGGTTGGGTATACCGTGCAGCTGCAGCGTAACGCAAATGTTCGCTTGACGCTGGCTAATGTTGCGCCAAGGACCGTTACACGGGACTGTGTTACTTCTTGGCATTAGAGAGTCGTCCTGTTGTCCGTGCACTGTTTGCCAATTTTCGGTGGCCACATTCGGCAGTGGACTGTATACAATGAGTGCAATAACGGGGGCCAAACGTTTTGCTAAGGGCTGCTGCCCCACGGTAGAGCTCTTCTTACACAGTATTGTGACACATCTTCCTTACGAATTCGTCATCTTGCAACTTAGCCCTTACATTCACAAAATCGTTAGTTATTACTTAGGGTAAGCTTAATTTCTATGATAGCTTTATAAAAGTAAAGTGCATCTTAAAAGTTACCTATTTATAGGTAGGTAGTAGTTACCTGCTTCAATGTGATCACGATTTGGCAATAAACTAATTTGAATACAAGTGCTTGGCATGCAGCATGCAAAATAATACTTAAGGAATATTGTCACCGGGATGTGGATAGCATTCAGCAAGTAACAGTGTGGTCGCTGGCAATGATCTCAATTGGAATTCAACACGAACCGCAACCGCTTATACAACGTTAGATTCAAGTGGGTACCACCCGTGTGTCAATGCCATGTATCTTCACATAACAATCCTATACACTAATGGCAGACTACTTGTAACCACAGTTGTATGAGAGGTCAACCTAGTTCTAACTTCGTCTACCGGTTACTTAAATTTTCTGATGTAAATTTGGCCTTCCAAGACAATTCCTTGAATATTACTGTCAAGGTTTGGAGCCAGCAACGGGATACAGCACCTTGTTCTACTGTCAAGATCCGCGGCCACTGCAGTAGTTCCTTTCGGTGGTGAGCATTTACATTAAATTAAAATGTGTTATATGTTTCGACGGTCCAAAACACAAACAAACCACCTGGTCTGATCAATGTGTGCAACACATGCGGATAGTTGAGAGCATTTTGTGCCATACAAATTAGTTTACAGTGCATTTCGTAGTGTTCAATTAACCAAAAATAATAAAATTACGGAAAACGAGCGTAGGGATCAATGTAGGCACAGCCAACAGTTCAGGCACACCAATACGGCCATTCGCCGAACCGCCTCCTGCGGACAGACTTATATGTGCGGTAGTCCTTCGAGAGGTTTTATGCACCTTTCAACGCTCCATTTGGTCCGGTGCTGATGTGCCTTAAAGGGAATAAACTATCAGCATTCTGAATCCTTTTTGGTTGCTGTTATAAGCAATAGGCCATCAACGTGTATATGTGTTTTTCATTGTGGCCACTATTATAGGCAAACTAGGCTGTCATTGTGCCAAGGTTACCAAAGAGCTAATAGGCCTACATCTATTAATTCGTCTTCTGGGTTGGTGTTATAAGCACTGAAATAGGCCTTCCAACCATTCAACCCATTCCAACATCCGATTCTTATGAGTGTAGCAACTTTTTTCGGTCCGCAATGGATCTCTGGCAATACGCCTTGCCAGAGAGGCATTAATTATCTTGGGAGCTTCAGCCCAACACCTCAGGAGATCGGCCCATTCGTGACCAATCACATGGTAGGAAGAGATAAATTATGCAATGGAATGAAAATTACAATGCATAACTTTTATATGTTTCGCTAGAATGAGATGTGGTCTAGCGGTTGTCCTATTCATTTTGTACAAGCAATCGAAGAGGACTTGCCTGAGTTCGAAGTATTTGTAAACAGTGCAGCTCCTGGACAATGTTTGGTAGTTCCTTCAGTGAAACCAATCTAAAAGCAGAGAAGTTAAAGCTGATGTGGATTTCGCGGAGAACAACAACCGCAGCGTACATCTGAGTGGTGGCCTGTATGGGAAAATAACTGATAAGTAGGGTTACAGAACGAAAAAAAACGAAAAACTAAGACAGTTTTGCTTTGGTAAGTATAGTTGCAACGCAAGGTGGAGAAAGCTAGTTATCGGGCAAAGTAGCATAATGCCATCGCTACTCGTAAGGAAATCAATTTAATCGCGCAGAAAAGGGAAAAGCGAGCATTCAAATCGGATCCAGCTAGGCCCAATTTCATAGGGACATTCGTTTGTCATAGTTCGCCTCAGTATACCAATAGTTGTTTCAACTCCGAGAACTGAGTGTAACATCATTCGAAGCTTTATCCCTGACTGGACTTTACGTATCTCACTAGGAGGCCTGTTCAATAATACGCAGTATCGGTTAAGAAAAAGTTTTCGGCCTGCTTCGTCATCAACCTTTTTACTAATACTTAGTTATTGTTGTTTCTGATGCGATACATGGCCGGTCCTTTTAGTTGCTGTACCGGATTTGAGGGATGTATTTTTCTGACAAGAGTATCAAAGAAGTCGGTAAGAGTAAGTTGCATTAAGTGCAGCCATTATGAATCAAGCTAGGGGGCAATTCACCGATCCATATGTAATAATGCAGCGGAATAGCCCAGCAGACGTTCAGTGAATGACCACTGCAGTCGTTATAATAGAATACGAACATTCACTCTGGAATTGCAATCGATTATGGAACCATAATCTAGTAACTGATGAGATTGTATTTTGTAAAGGGCCTTAAATGTGTCTCCGTTGATGAAACGTGGCTCCCATCCACATGCCTCCCGGTCTTAATCCTTCGGGTTTACTCTGGATATGGGGTGTGTGCTTGGAGCTGTGGGTGGTGCAGCGCAAGCCAACCATGGTCTCTCTGTAGGCGCAGGCTTCCTGTGGCTGACCACGGTGACAGGCAAATCCGAAACCGGATGCCGCCAGCCATATATAATTGAGTCTTTTAGAGTAAATGTTTTGTAAAGAAGCCCGATGCTTCGACGCGCTTGAGCTGTATTACGTCCGGGGTGCTCAGAGTTTTGGGTGTTCGAACAGTGTTACCCTAGTTCACGGGTGGAATGGCTGTGACAATAGCTTGCCGTCAATAGTAAGAGAACCCGGCGTGATTTGACATCTATAGGATACTATGTGTTATTTGTCAACGGCGAGTGACATATTCTACTTGGAAGGCCATTAATCAAGCGTACGTGGATCATGTTGCATTACGCTGAGAATATCATTGACAACATTTAGATTAAAGGTGTAAATATCCTTCATGCCATTGACAAATAGAGAAGGTTTACCAAGGGTAAAGATGTCAGCGATGTCACTCACATATAATAGGAACAGTAAAAATCCCTGGACACTATCATATATCACATCACTGGTGAGGACTTAGGTGTGCTTATTTCAGTTTGAACCTAGACAACCCGGACATCGTTTGTGAGGTACGAATCTAATCACGACAACCGACGTTTGTATACGCCATGTCAAGCTGGACGCCTATGCCTGATGAACCGCAGTCAAGTGAACTAACCAGAAGATTGAAGAGACCGATCTGACAGGTTATATAGAATCGTGATGTTAGGACGCCGTGTTGTGGGGAATAGATACCAATTCGCGTCAGCAAAAGATCAACAGTTTTAGAATTTATGTGAGGTTCCATCATCTTAGAGAGGATGGAAGTATGGCTTATTGGATGCTAGCCCCTCGTTTCGGGTACAGTCCCTGATTTGCAATGTGGGGTAGCTATTGTATTCTTCCAATCTATGAGGATATCGTAGGCCCAGATTTCGTACCAAGATTGGTGTCAAATTGGTGGGTCTAGCATACCAAAACGGTTTAGTGGAAGAAATAGGGGGATTAAGGTCACGGAGTTCGAATTCTACTATGCAGGGCTCATCATCAGCAAGTTGAGGGGGGATATGTGCAAGAAGCACAGTAATGGTAGCAAAGTAGTTGATATTAAAATAGTTGTTGAAAGAGTTTCTTGTCTAAGTCGGAGAGCTTGTTATTGGCCTGCCAAGAAGAAAAATGAAAGTGATGTCTGGGGTCTTGTTTCTACTTTTCAACAGCTTGGTAAGTTAGTGGTTTTTATTATCATTATTGGCTGTTATTATTATGACTGTTGAGCGCGCACCTTTCTCCAGCCATGATCCCGTTTTGGCTAAATTGTTCGAGTTCAACAATGATCGTTTGTTGTTGTTATACGTGGGAGAGGTCTTCCGTTTTCATATAACGACTGCGAAGCTCTACATGCTTAGGGACAAATTTGTGTGGAACGGAGATGGATTTTACTGTACAGAAAAGACGTTGCTACCTAAAGGGAATGAGGATATTCACGCTACCTTTGATAATCCTGTAGAGTTCAACAGCAGCCCCTTGTGCGTCCTTCTTCAGGGAGATAATTTCCCACTGTAAAGATCACAGCAGGGTGGAAAAGGATTCCATTTGTAGAGTTGTGTGGTCTATATCGGATTGCAGATTGAGTCGCGGCAGGATCGCAGCATAGCCTTTCGAACAATGGAACAATGGAACAATGGTATATGACGGGTAAAAAAGCATACACTTAACGAGTCCCGCAGGTTGGCAATAGAAATACTAACAAATTGGCAAACCACATAAGTGGTTGAAGTAAGGAGTGTCAGTGAGATAAAAGGTAGAAGTATAACAGTTTTAGGGGGATAAAGTGGTACGACGCAAAACTGGCTAAGAAATTGTTATCGTTGGTGATGGTAGCAAATAAAATGGGAGTACTCACCGGTTCGCACAGATTTACGACCGTGAATTTGGGGTATAAATCCAAAGAGGCCGGTCA